CTCTGGTTACAGAATTCACTGAGTTTCCGATGTTGGGAAATAAAACACATCTTCTCTTCATGCGTCTGGATGGAGGCCTCATGTTAGAGGGTATGGCAGAGATGAATGGAGGTAACGTTAACTGGTTTAGGGAAGGGATTGTCAGCATCTTGCTTTTTCGGCTTGGGAAACAATTTGATAAAAATGTATTTAGTCATTTCAAATAAAAAATTTGATTGAAATGAAAATTAAAGATGTACCTTTGTGTTACCAGAAAACTTACTAATAAAATGAATAAACATGTATAGGCTAGACATTTCATTCACTTAATCGTATACATTTTTTTACAATGCACAATATATTCTTAATACTTACAATTAATGAAATCTTATATTATATTATGGTGCGTTATGGCTATATGGAACAGATGTTCTAAATGAGTTTAAAATAAGCAAACGTTCAAACAAAAATGTAATAGAAGAATCCCTTAAGATGCAGCCACTCTCATGCTACTGCTTACCTAGTCATTGCGATCACAAACTGCGGAACAGCTTCACTCAGTTGAACTTCTAAAGGCGCATCTTAACTATGGCGTCATAACGCGCCAATCTCTCGCTGATGTTACTGCAGGCAAGAACTCAAGCAACACAACATTAAGACAACAAACGCTTCCTGGTTTAGGCTACATCTTAAAAATCACAGGCTTAGGCTACATCTTGTGCCACATGCATGCGGATATTAAATGCATAGAATTACCCTTAGTGGATGACTGTATGTGTAATCTCATGTAGGCTAACTTACTTCGTTTGTGTGTGCGTGTGTATGAACGCGCTATGAATAATACATGATTATTCTGACCTCTTGTGGTAACTTTACTCATTTGCTGAGAAAGATTTAATACGTTGTTTTCGGGATTCAGTTTTCAAAAATAAGTGGACAATTAATAATAATAATAATAGTAATTAAAATAATAATAATAATAAGACAATTAAAATAATAATAATTATTATAAAAACCTTCAAAAAGACTAAAAATTCTCATTTGTTTTGGATCCCCAATTTAATTAGAAAAAAATTAGGGAAATTTAAATTTTCCGCAGGCTAATTTAGGATATTTGGCTGGTCGCATAGCATTCTATTAAAAACAATAAGAATCCGGAAAATTCTATTTTCCACACATTTTCACATTATTTGGCATTTATGTGAACTAATATATTTTTTTTTTGTTCAGAATCATTGTCCCCAATATTTTGCCATTTAGGCTACTTACTTTGCCATTTACTTAAATGTATTTACTCACTGTAAATGTTAGTGTAAAAAAGTGCCAGAGTGAGAGTTTAAAATTGAGAAATGTCATTACATTTAAGAACGCATTAATTTATTTATTATCTGAGAGACACTTTACCTAAACTAACAGTAAAGTGATATAAAATTCTAGACCTGGTCGATGCCCTTTCCCCCCTCTCTAATGGTGAAGTTATGGCATCTGAAAGCATGGGTATGGCTCAGTGGGTATGTCACCTCACAGCAAGAGAAGGTTCCTGATTTGAGTTCTGGCAGAGCAGAAGGTTTATGTGTCTTGTGGATTTCCTCCAGGTGCTCAGGTTTCCGAAACAACCCAAAGACAAGAAGGTTAGGTGGATTGGATACACTAAATTGGTGTGCATGTGTCCCAGCACAGAGGTTGCATGAATTTCTCAAAGTCTCAGCATAACAAATTTTCCTTAAACATTCCCATTCAATAACATTCACTGTTTCACTCTTTTGTCCTCTCAATACCAAACCTATCCCAACAACCATACAGTGGAAAGCATCACATGGAAGCGTTTTTAAGGTCTCTCAGTAATCTGAAATACCTGTCACAATTAATGAGCTACCAAGCAAAAGGAGGGATATATATTGCAGAATATTTTTTTATTGATTATAATTAAGCTTAATTGTGAATTTACTGTACAGTTTTTTATGCATGAAAAACAGGAAAAAAGTTGGTCCTTAAAACATAAAAGTTTTATGATGGGAGTGGCTTGTAAATCATTACATTTCCCACGATTCTGATACATTATCCTGCTGTCATCACGTGAGTGAATAATACCAGGGGTTAAAGAAATCTAAGAAAAAACAGACCATTTGTAACCATGTCATTTTAAAGACAAAACATGTTCGTTGTTACATTGCCCTTTTAGAGCTTTAGAGCTTTTCATTTATTTTTATTTTTTTGGTATTTCCTTAACATTTTTTACATTGAAAAATCAATAGTTTAAATCCACAACATTTATAAAAGCAGGAAATCTAACATACAAATATGAAAAACAGAGATGAGAATGAGGGGAAGAAAAACAGTTTTTAGTTGTAAAATATAAGAGCAACCAGGGGCGTCACTAGGATTTTCATTTTAGGGGGGCTAAGCCCCCAATATGATTTTTAAAAAATATATAAAAAATGTAACACTTTAGTTTAGGATCTAAAGCTCACTATTAACCATTTTCATTACGATGCAAAGGCACGGTTTTATAATAACTGTGGTCCCAAATGTGAGGCAGGGCAAATACGGGGGATCGTGGTCTCCCCGAGAAAATTTTGATTTCTCTGATCTTATGTGCATTTTAAGATGTTCTGAAGGCCAAAAAACTTGGATAGTGGGCAGCTGATTATTTTTCTCTCCTCATCAGCATCACACTCTTTTTCTCTTTGTTTTTATCTTGCCCTGTCTCTTCCCCTCCTAAAGCTGAGCTTTGACTGATATAGGCTTTTCATTTTTGTCTGTCAGTAAAGAAAGTAAACTTAGGGTCAACTGATAGGGTGATTTTGCCTCATTTTCTCAGACGCGTTTATTTACTGAAAGCTACTAAAGGTAATTAAGTTTATTAAATGCATTCACAATATGTAGGCTACACATTCATTATTGATCTTATGCCTAATACAGGGCCGTAGACAGGGCTTTGTAATCACAGAGGTCCTAAATTTGAGGTTGGTAGGGGGTTCAAATTTTTTATTTCTCTGATATGTGCATTTCAAGACGTTTGAAGACCAAAAAAAAAAAGGATAAGAAATAGCTTTAAAACCATGTCAGTGGGCAGATTATTTTTTGTCAATACCTGCTGCTCTCTTCTCATCTCCATCACTCTTTCTTTTTTTTCTCAGTCTCTTCATCCCTCTTCCTCTCCTAAAGCTGAGCTTTTTTAATTTACTAAAGGCTACAATTTGTATTATATTCTCAATATGTACACATTCAGTATTAATCTTGTGCCTAACATGATGAAAACGGCTTTGTTAATCTTTCTTGTAAACTAATTATTACTTTACATGAGTCACGTTACATAGGCCTATTTTCAGCTCAAAATGGCGAAATTAGACACAACTATATTAGTTTGCCTGATTATTTTTTGTCATTCGTTTAACATTTATGACATAAAAAAAGTAAAATATGAAATGTTAAGTTTAGCTACTACTTACATCTTATCTCGCACTTGACCGTACGCGTCGAGTCGCACTGTTAAAATTCGTGCTCAGCGTCTGTGAACATAAAGCCCGCCTACTTTGATTTGATTGGTCATCTCAAATATTCTGACATTGACGAGCAGTGACAGACCAATGAGGCTCAGATAAACACACACATGAACACACACACACACACACACACCCTGTCCTCTGTTTCTGACGTGCTCTCTGCTCGGCGCCGCTGCGGATTGAAGATGAAGAACGCGCTGAATCTGATTATAACAAGACTGAAGCGAACACGAATTTGTGTAGCCTACATTAATCTCACATTTTTAGAGGGGCTAGGCAGAAGTTTAGGGGGGCTGAAGCCCCCCTAAAAAGGGCCTAGTGACGCCCCTGAGAGCAACATTTGTAATGAATGAAGTGAGAGTAACAGTAACAGTCCCATACTGGCATATATCTATTTCGTAGAGTATCAGAAGACATTATGCTGCTGATAATAAGTATTGCTGAATTACATTAAGTTTTTCACATTCAACATTAGCTATAAGATGCAAAAAGTAAACATATCAGGTCATAACATGTTATTAAAGGAAAAGGTTCATATATTTTTTTCATCAACTGGCAAGTAAGTGATGAATCCAAATTTCACCTTCTGTATTTTTTATTTAGAGAAAAGTTATATAATAGAAAACGGTTTTATCAGCTGAAACAGTAGCGGGTCCTGCCCGTAAATTTAGGTAGGACAGATTCTGGGTCTTAACGCTAGTTTATGATAAACATTTTGTAAGCTTTATATTCAGATCACTGAACACATCCGACACACTTTTGGCAGAATTCTAACATCCTAGCATTATGTTGTTAGCCTGATGGTGGCGCTCTAATGATGATTGACAGACTTTAGTACACATGACAAACGCATAGAATGCATCTTAGAATTGCTTAATGTATTTATTGCGCCCGAATGTTGTTTTCAGAATGTTGCAAGTTATGTAGGAATTCCAGTGAGGAAAATGAAGTCATGTCTATTTTCAGAACAAACATAAAACAAACACAACATAACTACAGTATATAAAGGCTATTCACATAAGCACATTTAACCTAAAGGGTTTGTACTTTTATTAATTTGATATGCTACTCCACATAAGTAGAATAGACATGCCAACTATTTACTGACCTGATGCAAACACATAGCTGAAGCGGACAGATAGCGTCTCTTGGTCTGGAGCTAGGTTTACTTGAGGTAACGTCACGTGAAAATAAGCGGGGCAGCCTGAAATCTGTCCCAATGGCTCTTTATAAGAGTGTGCGGCAGTTCCATTTTTCACCACAGATTTACATTGGAAATTTGGGGGGCGCTGTAGAGCTAGGGAGGGCTCAGAGACCCATTTAGGGCTCAGAGACCCTATTATCATAAATACATGCCTGCCGAATCCATGCGCTACATTTTAATATATCCTGCTCACTTTACGACTTACAATCCCAAAAAAATCCCAAAAATATTTGTTGCAGAATGCTGAACACATTTATAATTGATTATTAATTTAGTATATAGAGGTCTATGTTTGGATGAATATTTGCCCCACCTGGCCATACAGACGAGCCACGGTTGAGCTGAAGTAAAATAATCATAAAAACAGGTATTGATATAATAATGCTGGTGAAAGACATTATCAGTCTGTAATGTGAAAGGCCTCTCTCAGGCTCTGTAGTGCCTCCTCCTGAGTAATTTTCCCCCATGTTTGAGGCAATACAGCAGGTGCACACGAATATTCTTGAGCAAACCTTCTGTTGTACCTCATGAACACATACCTCCAGTAGACTGCAGCCCCATAATTCCTAGGGTCCTCTGGGTAAATGTTCCAGTCTGGGTAGATGGACTGATATTCCTTAAAGGGCAGAGACTGGCCCCCAGTATGTCTGTTTTGAAACTGTGTTTCACCTGCAATATCTGCAGAGCAGGTGTTGTGGGACAGAGTGGTAGAGTTGGCATTGGTATAACACACTAGACCTTTAGGCCGATGCACAACAGCTTCATGCACTTGATGATCTTTTTCTTCCAGGTCACACGGAGCTTTACAGAAAGGACAGCGCTCATCACACCCCTTCACTCTGTCATATAGCATGCCCTGAAGTTTATTAGGGAGGTCATCAGGGACTTCAATGACGTCTTCATTCTCCAAAAATTCCTGAGCAATTAATGAGGACAACTCAGAGACTGAATCCTGTAAGTCTTTAAGGAAGTTCTCACGATGTGTACTTATGTCAAACAAAGGTTTTTCCAAGATTTGAGTTGGCATAGTGATTTTTCCCAGACTCCCCAGGCTGATGCAAACTTTCTCCAGTAGTAGCCTAACACTGATCTGTGCGCCACTACTAGATTCTGATGCCTGATTAATACAACTTTTCACCCAATTAAAGATTTGGTGCATTCTCTGTTCCCTGCGGTCTTCGATCATTACAGAACCTGACAGGTGAGCTTTGATAAAGTTCTCAATACTCTTCTGGCTGAAGCTCTCATGGGACTGAAGATACTCATGGAAATTCTCAAAGCTGTCCTTTAGCAGCATTTCTTTAAGTAGACCGTAGTGGAATTTTTTTGGTGAGCTATAAAGCCATGGATTTTTGTTCTGGAGCATATCATTAAATATTTGTCTCTCCAAACTGCTGTAAATGAAGTCTTCAGCTGTTGGCTTGAGGCACAGGTTGGTGAAAGACTGAGCAGCTTTTTGACACTGGTCTCTTTTTCGGAACTGATATATGAAATTCAGCATGTGTCTGTCCTTGGTCTCATTTAGAAATGTCTCTTTAGTTTCTCTTTCCCTTATGAGCAATGCCTGCACCTCTTGAAAAGACTCCACTGCTTTGCTACAGATGTATCCTTTGATATCCGCTTCAAACTTGGGATTCATCATGAATGACTCACTTTTTAAAACTTCTAGACCCTTATCCACAATTGCAAGCAACTCTCTCATGTAGCTGTCTGAATAGCACTCTTTGTGCCTCAGTTTTTCTGAGACTCTCTTGTCACAGTCTTCTATCAAATTATTGGTGAATTTTTGTGCAACTTTCTTATTGTACTTCAGTGTTTTCTTCATCTTACTACTCAGAGCAAAATGGCTAGTCTTCACTTTAAAGCCATTGAGTTGGTTTGCATTTCGGAGTCTAACGTTTTTCTTTTTTAGACCACGATTGCTTAGGTTTTTCTTTAGCTGGTCCACCATCCTTTCAAAGATCTTCTGTGTCTCTAGGGGGGGATCCTTCAAGTTGGATGGGATATTTTCCCAAACACTAACAAATTCACTTTCAAGCTCCTTGTCATCAATCACACTGCCATTGTTCTTGCAGGTCTTCAAGAGTGAACGTAACTTTACCTCCAGGGCTGCTTCAAGTGATGTCAATAAGGCGTGCATCTTTATTGTCATTTCATGGCGAATGGTAGCAGACTCAAGTTTCTGGGCAACATCAGATGTCATTTGCTCTTGAATGAGGTCTACTCTTTTGAGAAGACTTACTTTGTAATTTTCCACAAGGGTAATATCAATATCCTCCTGCCTAAGGTAGTCCCAGAGACTTGCCTTAATTTGGTCTCTCTCTGCACTGATTTGTGTATTTGCTTCACTCCTCAAAATTGTGAGTATGCCATCTGAATCCATACCCTGTCCATTTTGTGATGCAGATTCTTTTAACTCTGTTATGTGATTGTCCAACCCTTGAACCCAAAGATCGAGTTGATCATTGAGCTGCTTCTCTCCCTGTACAAGTTTTGTGCAGAGGCCAATGATGGCATCAGCTGTATCTGTGTCTCCAAACTTTATGGCAAAAACTCCATTTTTCACTTTCTCCCATAGATTGCACATATACTCCATTAATGTACCTAAGCAGGTTGGCTGATCATTTGTTGCCTTTTCATGGAACATCGTCAACAGTCTTTTCTTTAGGCTGAGAACTGCATCACTGTAGATTTGATCATTTTGTGAAGTCAAAGAGTTGCTGTTCCATGAGCTGGACAGGTTATGGCTTACACCTTCTCTTTCTCTTTGGGATTCATTTGGGAGCTGTCCTGTGGTAAGTACATCAATTACACAACTCATGATTTTTCCATCCATTCCTGCTCCCTCTGAAGAGACCTGAAAGGTAGTCTTCCTCTCCAAGTTTCGTGTGCAGAGAAGAACATTGACAGCAATATGAAGGTTGCTTCTTGTTTCGTCCTGACCCTCACCTGGTAAATTTACCAGAGTTATGTCACTCAGTCCACTGACAAAGGTAGCCAGTTCAATGTCATGCACAAGACTTCCTCCTGCATTGCGGTTCAAACCTTCTGTGCCAATCAACATCAGAAATTCACAGTCCATCTCCATTCTTAAGTTGTCAGGCAGGCTGAGGAGAAGCATGGATGCCCCTTTGATATGCCTTCTACCCCACTTTGGGAAGTTGGTGCCAAACAATGCAGATAGGATCTCCGCATTTTTGGAGTTGTGGAAACCTAAGATTGTCAAAACTCTCATGCGACTGAACTTTGGCAGCTGCTTGTGTACCTCATAAAGAACGCTGTATACCCAGTTCATGGGAAATACTGAGGCATCCCCATCATAGAGCTCAAGTGGAACTCCATACAAGAGTAGTTCAGCACCTACATATGGTAAGCGGAACATGTCATACAAGTCACTGTTTGGACCGCGGAAGTATCGTTCGTAGACCAATCCCAGTTCTCGAAGGAAATGTTCAAGTCCAATGCAAGGTTCTTGAATCTGTTCCTCATTTGTTCCCCTAAGATGGGACAGTTTATCCAACTGCATAACTTCAAGTTTCACCCTCACCCAAGAGAGGAAAAATGCTCGCTTGGTTGTGTCAAATGAACAGAGAGCTGCAATAAAAGCTCTCATGGCTGTTGTTAATTTATAATCAAGCAGTTGTTTTATAAGATTTTCCTTCTCCCCCATTAAGCTCTGTGTTGTATGTTGTTGGTGACGTCCTTCCTCCTTCTCCAGCTGACACAACTGTTTCCATACCATACCCTGCAGGGGCAGCTGGTTCTCCAAATAGCTGGACACTCCGTCTTCGATTCCACTGAGGACTTCTTCAACTTCCCTGAATGCCATTCGACAGATCTCATCTTCATCAACATTAATGTCGAGGTCACTGGCCATACCAGCTGTACCTACAAGGTTTGTGGTGTGCAGGTATGGAATAAAGCGATCAAGAACATCTTTTAAGCTTTCAGCAATTTCTTCCTCATTACCTTCACAGCCATTAAGCATTGTTCCATCAGGCATTTCTAAATCCTTCAACAGCCGTTGTTTAATTTTCTCATTGTGATTCTCTTGGTCATCCTCTACTGACATTGAGCAGTCGATTATAATCATGTGGCTTGTATTCTCCCTCCATGAGGCAAGCAGTTCTCGTTCCTTGGCACCAAAACTTCCGCAAAACACGATGAGGACTGCAGATGTGTAACATAGCAGACTCATCTGTTTTTTGCAGTTGGCTGCATCTCCACGGAGATTAGCTACTAGCACAGGACAAGGGAAGACGTTGTCATGATGATCTCCTGAAGGCAGGTTCCAACACATCTCCACCAGACCATCTGAGAGAACACGAGGCAGCTGCCCTCCATCCATACCACAGTTTATGAAGCACTCATTCAGCTTGTGTGGACCCCCAAGAACACAGTTGAGTACTCGAGATTTTGAGACACTGCAGCGACCTAGCCTCACTGCGGAGAGAAATGGCATCCTGGAATTGGCCATGTTCTTCATGATAGTTCCCTCAGAAGGTGAATTCCACTGACCTAGAACACCTCTAAATGGATACAGGAGCATGGTCCCCTTCTTTTCTGGGTAAACCGGTGGAAGATACAGAGGCACTGCAAAGTTGCATTGCAACATTCGGTGGGTGATCTCTTGCTGTAGGAAACTATTTGTTGTCATGTAGATGACAGCAACCAAGTCTAAAGGATTGATGGCACATTGTGAATTCTCATCCATGTCCAAACCGTAGTCTCCTACTGCTACCTTGCAGCAAGTGCTACGGGCTTGGGGATTATACAGCCAGAGCCGCCGGAGGAATGCATTTGAGAGCTCTGTTGGGTCCCGTGGAAAGTCGTCTTCAGTGCTTGGAGTGTTTACATATAGCATTGTTGTAAGATCCATAGGCGACACCTTTTCCCTGTGCAGGTCCAGCATATGCAGTAAAATATGTTTGTCCCTGTCAATTTCAGACACTATAGAGAAGGGATATATTGGATGAAAAAAAAAATCCACTGTGTCAGTGTTATAGTAATATAGCATTGCAATATTACTGAAAGCTATGATTTTTGCAATTTCTGGACAAAAACACTTTTATTAATGGGATGCTGAAATTTGATGCATAATCCTCACCTATCTCAGTAGTAAGAGGCCCCAGATCGGGGACAATCCTCCGATGTAGAGACATTGTTTTAGAGTGTTTATTTGGTTGTCAGTTATAATTTGTAGGATCACATTGACCAGCCAGCCAAAACCGACATTGAAGAGTGTCGTTTTCGCTTACGAAACTGAAACCCCACCCCCCCCAAATAAACACAGTTACACAATATATACACAATGCAAATTCAAAATGCAAGTTTTAGTATTGACTACATTACATTTAGTCAAATAACAATGCAGCAAAACCTTGAGTGTTCATTCCAGACTAGACCTGATTATAGATTATATATTATATTATAAGTCTTAAAAAGGTCAAATTAGATTTGCATGTCCTTGATGGAGGATAAATTACATCCAGACCTTTCTAAACTGCATCCATCTGAGGAAAACAACTCAACAGAATTGTTCACACTTTGCCAAATTATGGTAATCATACGGGGCTAATTAATTTCTGACACTGTTGGGACATTACTGGTTAGACATCTAACTGTGCATATATCAGTGTGTACTGTATTAAACATCACATAGCTGGGATTTATTTTACCATTTTATTACGTAACTGTTAATTCTATATGCATTTTGGGTAACACTTTAGTTTAGGGTCCAATTCTCACTGCTTATTAGCATGCATATTGGCTGTTTATTTGTACTTATAAAGCACATATTAATGCCTTATTCTGCATGACCATATTCAACATCCCATAATCCTACCCAATACCTTAACATAGCAACTACCTTACTAACTATTAATAAGAAGTAATTAGGAGTTTATTGAGGCAAAAGTCATAGTTATTTAATAGTTATTTAATAGTGAGAATTGGACCATAATCTAAAGTGTGACAGTATTTTGCAGCAAATTCATACAACAACTGCTTAACATGCATCTTTCTTATTTCCTGCTTTCAAGAGTCATAAGTATGCTTATCACAAGCCACACAGATGGAAAGCTAATTTCTCATTAAAACCAATGCCTTTGCAAGGATTATCCAGTCACTAGTGAATAATTCATTAACCATCCAAAACCACAAACACCAACATCAGTTATAATCTATTCTGTTAAAATCAAATGTAAAGTACAAATCGACGTATACTATCATAACAAAGCAAAATTAAAGCAATTTCTCGTTTAAAAAATCAGTTTGTCTGACCTGATACTTCCATTAATGCGTGCTGTGCTGGCATTAGATGAAACTGTCTTCACCATGAACATAACATTGAGCTCTTATATGAGACCTGAGAGCGATATGGTCTGCTTTTGTGGAATTTCCCCCACCTCGTTCATTACGCACAAAGGCTACAGCTCTTGCTCACATTCACACTCCCTTATCAAAACAACTCCCATGTATTAGAAAAAGTACCAAATAATCCAAACTAATTTTCTACACAGTATTAGGCAATGTGTCGTGTGATTTAAAACACTTCTATATATTATTGTGGCAACAAAATATAAAACCAAGTGGCATTAAATTTAAAGATAAATACATTTATTTTTAAACATAAATAGACTTTTCATGTATAACATTTCACAAAAAATGGCACCTGTGCAAACTCCTCAGAAATTAATTATTTGCAGATGCCACTTGTTTTGATATTTCAGACAATAAAACATGCACACACACACATACACACAAAAACTCTTATAGACTTACACATTAAATAAGATTCTCAAGCCACATGCAGTGACTTGATTGTGTGCTCGCATAGAAGAAACTCAAAATCAGCTTAGCAAAATCGGGAACCCAAAACATTGTGGCAAGAACCAAATGAAAAAAATTCTAATTTAATTACCATTGCTGTAAGGATTTTTAATGCACTTATAGTGTATAGATTAGGATTGAGCAGCTGTGGTTGTAAACATTACTGGCTTCCATGCAGGAGTGATGACTTCATTAGTGGGATCATACCTTCACTTACTGACTGATTAAATATTGATTAGTCGAGAAGAGATTCTCAACATGCATGCACTTCGAAAACATCTGCTTTACAGATAGACTCGTTTAAATTGTGATTTCTGATGTGAAAAAGTAAAGTTTTAATGACATGTCCTGATTTAATGAGAAATGTATGGTTTTTACGGAGGGCCCTAAAGGGATATCGTGAAAGGAAAAATTATATTTCAATGTTTTTGCATTCCTCTGAGGAATCTTGCCTTTGTTTTTAGCACTTTGCAGTGGTTGCTATGTTCTTAAGTCAGGTTCAAGTATTAAAGTTAAAGTGTAATGTCTGGCTCAGGATGAGGTTAAAGCTCTACCCAGAGGGATAAACGCTCATGTGCGCATGGGGAAAAGATTACATGCCTCCTATTTCTGTAACGCAAAGCTCTTTAAATGACTTAGCCGTGTGAGTGCGTCTGGCTGAACAGAAAGATGCAGCTCTAGATCCTTGACTTCTCCGAGTATCACCACGGTTGACGTGCTCTGCTGGCCCAGGACTACCTGAAGAAAAAACACAAAGAAACAAGCTTTCAAAATGCTGGTGACAATGCTAACAGCCATGTACATGTTGGTGAAAGTGGTTGAACAGGTAAGGCAACTAGATTACATCTCCATGCATTTGTCGCCAATCGTCAACATACCAGCCAAAAGCCGTTCAATTGACTCAGATTCTTGTCATTGTTTAGTATGCCAGATGAATGAACTATGACAAAAATGTTAGATGGACAAATATGATGAAAAGGGCAATGTCACAATTAGATTTAAATAGATTATTTTCTCGTTGACTACGTGGAAATGAGAGAGTACTCATGCATTTCAAAGAGTTTATAAGGAGAATTCATGTTTCAACATTAAAAACAAAGTGCTAAAACATTTTATGGACATATATTTGAGGGTGTTTCAATGGGCATTTTCGGCCCCTTTAGACTTTAGGAAAATAAACTCTTAAAACACTCTCACTAGTTTAGCATGTAAATGTACAGCATAATGTACATGCATCAATCCACCCTGCTGTTGGTCAGGGTGGAAATTATGTCACAACTGAGGGACAGTCATAATTTTTGTAAAAAAAATTAAAAATAAAATAAAAGTTCATGATGTGTAATAGCATTTTATGAGGCATTTTCACATTTTAAGATAAGATAAGACAAAAAAAAAAAAGCATAAAATAAAATAAAGGAATTTTCACATTTTAAGATTGGAATAAATTAAAATAAATAATAAAAGCATCAAGACTTAATGAAGGTATGGTAAAAGGTTTCAATGATAGCTATAATGTGACATTCATTCAATGAAAAGAAAAATGTTTAACCCAATAGTTTTAGTTATTGACAGGATATATTGAATATTTTATGAGGCATTTTCACATTGTATGATTGGGTCAAATAAAAAAACATAAATAAATGAATAAATGGAGGCATGGTAAATGTTTTCAAGACAGCTATAATGTTACGTTCATGTAAGGTGGAAAAAATGGTTTCAACTGATAGTTTAAATAAAAATCAACCACTGGCCGGGACACAAAAGTGCCTGTAGTTGATAAAATACCCTTAAATACCATGGTACATTATTGAATTACCATGGTATAACACTGCATTGTATACAGCACTTTCTTATAAGCGTATAAAAAAAAAAAAGTATGGCATGTGTGATATGAAAAGTCTTTGAGTTCACCTGTCATCTCTGGCTGTTTGAAGATACAACATCTTCCAATCTCAGTAATAAAGATTTTAGGGTGCATGACATTGCAATTCAGGGCCATAATACTCTTGATAAAAAATTTGAATGAGACAGCAGGAACTAGATCACTTACGTTTTGACACGACATCTATTTATTCCACAAAAGTTGATTTAATTCACAGGGGACAAGATGGTTGTTTCTAATGACAGTTTAGCATGCAGGATCATGACACATCATAAGTCAAAGCAAAAGACATCAACAACATACTGTAGATGATGCAACACACACACTGATCCTGCTGTGTCTGTTTCAGCTGGGTGTTCGGTGGGCACGTGAGCAGGAGCCTCTCCCGTATATGGTTTCTCAGCCCTTGCCATGGCAGGTCCACAACGTCTCCCATTCTCGGAGAGGAAGCCGTTCAGAAGAGGTGAAATACTCGACTATATCTGAACTATTACCTACATTACACAACACCCCCCCCCCCCCCCCAAAAAAAAATGTTTTCTTTACGATGCATCTCACCAAGAACATAAACAACTCATATTTCACCTCCCAATCAAAAATATTTTGTTTTGGATAATGAAAATGGAGCCTGTGATAATCACTAGTGTCATCTCATTTAAACGCACATGCCGCAAATGATCGTTATAGTAATGTAAAATAATAAAAAAATAAATCTCATTCTCATTAGTGCAAATAAATATATATTTATTTTATTTACCGGTAAGTATTTATACATTATGGCAATATTTGTGTAATCATTTATTTGAATAAAATGAAAAATGAATTTATGCTACTTTTGAAAAAGCAATCTTTATGTCCAGAAACAGTCATGAGAATATTGTTTTTAGATGAATAAGAATTAGAAAATATGCTTAAGTTTCGTGAAAACAATATTACGAGGTAAAAAAAAGAAAATAATAATTATCATCATGAAAATAGTGATATAAATTCTTTAAGGAAAATATTTTTTTATGATTTGGTGGTGACATTTATCTTCATGAGATTCATCCTAAAAGTTGCACTGTGCTTTGAAAAGATCTTTTTGAAAGAGTGAAGGTGAAAGAGGGCAATGCTGGTGGGTGGACAAAGAGATGAGAATTTTAATGTGGCCCTTATTCATGTGCGCGGCCCTTGTTCAATGCTTTGGTCTCATTTTTAGGTTTCTTTCTTCCTATACTTTCCAACTTAAGCTTACATTTCTAGCTGCTGTTATACCTTTCTACTGAAGTTGCGCAATATGACTTAGTCTTAATTCCAGTGATTGTCAGACATTACTAGGTGCCGTTCAAGGCCAACACACCCACACACACACACACACACACACACACACTCAGCTAACCTCAGAAAAGCTTGGGCATCCCTCAGGTGGCTATAATCCAATGGAGAAGGATTTGTGTCTTAATGCAGTATGCCTCTAGAAACGAATGTATAGAAGCCCCGAGGTTCTGCTTCAACAACAGCTAATACATTTGCAAACCAATGGTTAATTATTACATTTTTAAGTACAATCAACTTGGATGTTTAAGTCATTTTGACTTAAATTACTTTAAAAAAAAAACCCGAGTTGAATCTTGTATAACATATTTTTTTTAAATTGAGAAATGTAAAAAAGTGTTGTCATAACTTACTGATCATATTTTTTTTTTTACAGTGTACATACATTAATATTTCACTAATAATAAATTAATCTTCATTTGGATCCTTAACTTTCTTAAATTATACATAAAGGTAGTCATTTAGCTGACGTTTTTATCCAAAGCATATATCACAGAACACTCATTACGAGGACAATCCCCTGTACAAGTCCTTACTTAAGAGAGCAAAGCCGCTTTCCTTTTGGCATGTCAAAATGGTCAAATCGGGCTGCTGATTTTCATTTAATAATTTACTCAAGTGATGACATCAGTGCACTTTCTTTGCCTTCAAGCTCTTCAGTCCACGGGGTCTAATGTTCATCTGGGTTTGTACTGTAGCATTTCAACCGAAATATGTTTGCCTGAACCAGATGCCATCCAATATAATTTGATCCCATTCTCCAGATTTTCAGATTAAATGTAGGGTCACATAGTCCCTAACCAAAAGGTTATTTATGGGTCATGCAGTGCCTTTGAAAGGAAATTGGCCCATTAAGGGTTTTGTACCGTAACATGTTGACTGAAATAGATATTAATGTTTGCCATTACCAGATGCCATCCAATGTGACTTCAGTTCAGATACACTACTTGGTCTCCAGTACGACATCAAACTTAAATGTAGTGTTATGTAGGGGCTACACAGTGCCTCACCAAAAGGTTACGGGCCGTGCAGTGGCTTTGAAGGTAAATCGGCCTATTAGAAGCATCCAAGAACTACACTCAGACACTGTCATGCACATTTCCTATCATACTGGATTTTTCTGAAAATAGTCATTGCACATTTTAGTGAAAATAATTGTGGGTCCACAGAGTAGAGCGGCCATAAGGACCGTGACATGACCCAGCGGCGTGAACACATTGAGTCGCACAGTCACCCGCGCCAGTGGCATGTGTGGAATGTCCCGTCTCACACCTGCGGGATCTGTCTGGGCCGCCATGTCTCGCACATTCCAGCACGAAATACAGAGAGGCGACACTGTCATTAGACTGTGATAAGACCGTCACGGCTGATGCTTTTGTAGGTTCAAGGACAAAAGGATGCACTGACACTTCTGAAGACCTCAAAGTAGTGATGTTAACGCAAAGAGTAAAAGCATTTTTGAGATGGTGCAAATTTCTGAATCTTGTTAAAGGGATAGTTCACCCAAAATGAAAATTCGTATTATTCACGTCGTTGCATTGCTAGCAGGCCCTAGCTTCTCTTTTCTACAGTGGTAAACAATGAGTCCGCACACCAGAAGATGCTCCTAAGCGAGTTTTAATAGTTGCTCACCTCGTGTAACGTTTCGGGCCCAGCCCTTCATCAGACAATGTCTGATGAAGGGCTGGGCCCGAAACGTTACACGAGGTGAGCAACTATTAAAACTCGCTTAGGAGCATCTTCTGGTGTGCGGACTCATTGTTTACCTTTGCAAATATCTGTCCGTCCAGCACCCAGTTTTATTACTTTGGATGTGCGTGCTGCACTTTTTTGATCTCTTTTCTACAGTGACATGTTTGGTCACACTTTAGATTATGGTCCAATTAACTAACTATTAACTACGACTTTTGCCTCAATAAACTACTAATCACTGCATATTAATAGTTAGCAAGGTAGTTTAGGTATTGGGTATGATTAAGGGATGAAGAATATGGTCATGCAGAATAAGGCATAACTATGTGCTTCATAAGTACTAAACAGCCAATATCTAGTAATATGCATGCTAATAAGCAACTAGTTAATAGTGAGAATTGGACCCTAAACTCAAGTGTTACCAAAGGTTTATATGGGAAAGGTGGGGAGCCTATAATTACAAAAAAAAAGCAATATAATTGGCCCAAATGACACTACATCCCAAGTCTTCTGAAGTCATATGATAGCTAATGTGAGCAACAGATTGAAACTTAAATAATTTTGCAGTGAAATCATTCCCCTTGCAAAATTTTGCATGCTTAAGTTTCAAATATGCAGTTTGACGTCAATGACGGTCAGTCAGGAGACAGACAATAACCACTGACATCAAACTTGGACAACTTTTTTCCAAAAAGTCTTCTTTTGTGTTCCACAAAAGAAAGTAAGTTATACAGATTTGGATGAGGGTGAGTATTTCATTTTGGGGTGAACTATCCCTTTAAAGTGTTTAGTTTATGTGCAGTTGACTTTGAGAGCAACCGTTGGTTCCAAAAGTAAAAACTCCATTCATTTTTTCCATGTGGAAATTGATTTGTAACGATAACTTATCAACGTTTAAAGACAGACCTACTGTGAGTCCAGAGGGTGAACATGATTTCACCAAGTCCAACATGCTCCTGAAAATCAACGTCTGATTGGTTGATTGGAATGTTGAACAATTCCAATCAACCAATCAGATTTGAGGGACAATTTTACAGTTTATGTCAAGTTTAGGCTTACAACCAGGGTTAGGTGCTTCTACATCAGTGATATTCACCTATTATTTCCTTCTGATTTGGGGGATACGTTATGGGTAGGGATAGAGTAAGGACCAAATTTTCGGAGATAATTTTGTTCCAGGATCAACAAAATGTGTTGACCCAGGAACATGTCTTACTTGGCAAAATCACGGTGACGGAATTCAGAGATTGCTAACTGATGGTAAATGCTTCTGTTGAAGCCATCTGTTATTTTAACTTGTTTAAAAAAATAATTGTGTTCAACAGCGTAACTCATGGTGAAAACTACATTACCATGATAGCCATGATGTTGTACAGCAAATCGCACAAAAAGATTTCTACTGGGAACCATACATTTTTAAAAATCTGAAAAAATCAGAAATCAGAAAAATAAATGTAAAAACACTTCTGGAACCAACGCCACGGAAAAAGTGTTTCGGCACTAATGCACTCTCTATGACCTGCACCAAATGAAACTGCAACAGGTTTCAAACCCAAACATTCTCCTCATCTGCCATTGGTGGAAAAATGGATAGCCCAACCCACACTGTTGCTATGCCAGGCTGGACAGGATGATTAAATAAACAAAACAATGTTTTGATACCACTGCAATGATTACACTTTTCTGAAACTGAACCTACAATGGCTAATTTATAGTTGTTGATGCATAGAAAAAGTATTTTAACATTTAAAAAAAAAAAAAAAAACTTAAGCTTTTTTTTGTGTGTGTGTGTGTGTGTGTGTGTATTATTTGCTTTGCAGTTTGGGGGCCAGAGAAGGAACAGCATAGGAGTTTACAGAAAGCGTAAGTATTACCTTAATTAAAACAATTGTACAAAAACATTACACACACACACACATACATACACACATATATACTGTATATATAATTGAATATCACAAAATGTTCAATTTGAACAATTCTCTTCCATGTTTTTTTAGACTCTTCGTCCAGTAATGGACACAACGGAGCCTCTGCCGACAAGGCGGCGTCTACAATTCAGAACCAGTACAGGAAGTACCAGCAGAAGAAGCAGAAAGACCACAAATGAAAGACCAATGAGCTAAACTGTCAGCAGGGTCCATTCCACGCTGATCAAGACCCAGTATAACCTTATAACCCCAGCAACTGTGCACACGCAAAACTGCTCTGCATCCATGTTAAAGGATGACTTCTGTGAGCGACAGTCACGTATTCTGATGTACAGATAGCTGATACCTGCACAAACACAAACACTCAGACAATGACAAACATTTCAGACCATTTGCTGATAAAAGATACCACAAACACTCACAGATCAGAAGATCTTTAAGATAAATGCATAAAAACATGCAGATTACATGCACAATAATATATAGTAGAATATCAAGAAGCTACACGTTTACTTATCCATCTAAATGAGAACGAACAAACCATAGAGTTTAAAAAAAATTTGTTAATAAAGATAATTATATTTACTTTATACAAACCCAAAATTATATATTTAACTGAGGATGCCCTTGAATGCAGAGTTGGGAGGGTTATTTTAAAAATGAATTCTGTTAGTTACAAATTACTTCATAAAAAAGTATTCAGTAACGTAATTCAACACCACAATATGAAAGTAATGTAATCTGATTACTCTTGGATTCCTTCAAGGTCACATAAATAAATTCAAGTAAAAAGCAATGTACTTTCATTTTTTATGGATTTGATGCAAAATATAAAATATTTAAGAAATTGCCATGTAGTTGTAACTATGCTCTGCTTATATGAAACCAGAATTTTTACACAACAGAAATGTTTCGGCAACAGAATGCAAATGCGCTTTTTCCCCCCTCATGCAAATATACCTGTAATAAGAACAAATGCACTGAATTGTTAACATTAAATAAAGCTAAAAAAATATATATATTGTAGGGTTCAAAATTAGCCTACTGCAAAGTGTAATTCTGTCAAGTATTGCAGTTAAGTCTGTTTGAAGGATTTGTCATACCTAATGAAAGACCTAGCTGTGTCTCAACCTGTGTCCAAGGAGAATGATGGGAGACGGGTGTTGTTTGCGCATGCACCAATAGGTGGCTCACGTGAGTCATATGCCAACAGAACTATAACACCATTACATGTTTTCAATAACTCCCCAACCTGCTCGGGGGTTTTCATCAAATTTTGCTCATTCTAGCTAAATAAACCCACACAAACATGTATGTTTATTCCTAATCATTTTAGGTTAATCTACATTGTGTAACATTTCTGTTACATTATGTGCCTAGGTGATAGAGTGCAATGTGCCTAGGTGGGAAGCAATGTGAAAATCTGTCATTTGAAGGGCTGCTGAGAGCAATGTGTACTTTTCAACTGTGAACTAACAGATGATGTACCAGTGATTTTTATAAACTGCCATGGCAACAAACAATCACATTCAATAAACATTTTACAAGCCTCCAAGATGTAGTCATTCTTCCCTCTGCTGGTGAGTTAGTGCTAGTGGGAAACTCATAAAACGAGTAGGCTAATTCACAACAAAAGAAACAAGAAATAGTGCCTAGTCTGAATATAAACAATGAATATAAAAATATGTATAGTAGCCTATGTCAATCTTCAATAAACAATACTATGTTTATATATATATATATACACTCACCGGCCACTTTATTAGGTACCCCATGCTAGTAACGGGTTGGACCCCCTTTTGCCTTCAGAACTGCCTCAATTCTTCGTGGCATAGATTCAACAAGGTGCTGGAAGCATTCCTCAGGGAGTTTGGTCCATATTGACATGATGGCATCACACAGTTGCCGCAGATTTGTCGGCTGCACATCCATGATGCGAATCTCCCGTTCCACCACATCCCAAAGATGCTCTATTGGGTTGAGATCTGGTGACTGTGGAGGCCATTTTAGTACAGTGAACTCATTGTCATGTTCAAGAAACCAATTTGAAATGATTAGAGCTTTGTGACATGGTGGAAGTAGCCATCAGAGGATGGGTACATGGTGGCCATAAAGGGATGGACATGGTCAGAAACAATGCTCAGGTAGGCCGTGGCATTTAAACGATGCCCAATTGGCACTAAGGGGCCTAAAGTGTGCCAGGAAAACATCCCCCACACCATTACACCACCACCACCAGCCTGCACAGTGGTAACAAGGCATGATGGTTCCATGTTCTCATTCTGTTTACGCCAAATTCTGACTCTAACATCTGAATGTCTCAACAGAAATCGAGACTCATCAGACCAGGCAACATTTTTCCAGTCTTCAACTGTTCAATTTTGGTGAGCTCTTGCAAATTGTAGCCTCTTTTTCCTATTTGTAGTGGAGATGAGTGGTACCCGGTGGGGTCTTCTGCTGTTGTAGCCCATCCGCCTCAAGGTTGTGCGTGTTGTGGCTTCACAAATGCTTTGCTGCATACCTCGGTTGTAACGAGTGGTTATTTCAGTCACTGTTGCCCTTCTATCAGCTCGAACCAGTCTGGCCATTCTCCTCTGACCTCTGGCATCAACAAGGCATTTCCGCCCACAGAACTGCCGCTCACTGGATGTTTTTTCTTTTTCGGACCATTCTCTGTAAACCCTAGAGATGGTTGTGCGTGAAAATCCCAGTAGATTAGCAGTTTCTGAAATACTCAGACCAGCCCTTCTGGCACCAACAATCATGCCACGTTCAAAGTCACTCAAATCAACTTTCTTCCCCATACTGATGCTTGGTTTGAACTGCAGGAGATTGTCTTGACCATGTCTACATGCCTAAATGCAATGAGTTGCCGCCATGTGATTGGCTGCTTAGAAATTAAGTGTTAACGAGCAGTTGGTTAGGTGTACCTAATAAAGTGGCCGGTGAGTGTATACTTATTAAAAAAAAGTAAAAAAGAAAAGTTAAGCCAAATTAGTACTTTTTTAAATGTACTTACACAATGCTACTTTAAATGTTATTTTACAAATGCACATGCGCGATTAAACGTAAAATAAATAAATAAAGAAGGTACGCCTAATTGCACATTTTTATCTCCCAATTTTGACTTTAGTCAGTTTGACTGAATTTACATCTCGTAATTGTGACTGTTTTTCTGTTTTCTCATAAACTTTTGTGAATTAGTTCACCTCAAAATGAAAATTTACTCACCCCAATGCCATCCAAGATGTTCATTTCTTTCTTTCTTTAGTGGAAAAGAAATTCAGTTTTTTGAGGAAAACATTTCAGGATATTTCTCCACACAATGGACTTCAACGGTAACCAAATTGTTTAAAGGGTTAGTTCAAAGTAAATTCTGTCAGTAATTACTCACCCTCATGTTGTTCCAACCCCGTAAGACCTTCGTTCATCTTCGGAACACGAATTAAGATATTTTTGATGAAATCTGAGAGCTGGATCACTCCTCCATAGGCTTCTTCAGGGATTGAACTTGCCGGCCTCGAAAAGTTATTAAAGACATCGTTAAAATAGTCCAAGTGACTACAGTGGCTCAATCTTAAGTTTATCAAGCGACGAGAATCCTTTTTGTGCGCAAAAACAAACAAAAATAACGACTTTATTTAAACTATTCATGTCCATCTCTTTGGGCCTGGAGTCAGTTCACTAGTGTAATAGCGTAAGCTTCTGTTGTTGTACGTCACACGCATCACGCACATGACCAGCGTCGGCCAATAGTGAGCCTACGTGTGACGTAGCTCTACGGAATCACACTACGTTAACTGACTAGAGGCCCAAAGAGAAGGACATGAATAGTTGAAATAAAGTCGTTATTTTTGTTTGTTTTTGCGCACAAAAAGGATTCTCGTCGCTTGATAAACTTAAGATTGAGCCACTGTAGTCACTTGGACTATTTTAACGATGTCTTTAATAACTTTTCGAGGCCGACAAGTTCAATCCCTGAAGAAGCCTATGGACTAGTATGGAGGAGTGATCCAGCTGTCAGATTTCATCAAAAATATCTTAATTCGTGTTCCGAAGATGAACGAAGGTCTTACGGGGTTGGAACAACATGAGGGTGAGTAAATATTGACAGAATTTTCATTTTTGGGTGAACTAACCCTTTAAGTCCAAATCAATGCAGTTTCAAAGGGCTTTGAAGAGCTTCAAAGGGCTCTGCACGATCCCAGCTGAGGAATAGGGCCTATATCTAGCGAAAGGATCGGTCATTTTCTAAAAAAGATAAAAATATATACCTTTTAACCACAATTATTCGTCTTGTACTGGTCTGCGCGCCAGGCATTGCGTATCCTGGATGTTTAAAACAATGGGGCGGTCCTTCCGTCTACGTCCAGCGTGACCTTTCCAACGTGATTAATGCCTGGCGCGTACAATGGGCTCTATGCAAGGGGGTAATCCACCAGCCGGAAACTGAAGTCTCCCCGGGGGCCGCCATTGGCTAACAAGCCTTCACCTACTGTTAGCATCCCATTGACGCCCATTCATTTTTGCGTCACTTTGACAGCGAATAACTTTACATCTGAGGCGTCTAAAGACTCCATTTGTCCATTGTTTATTTCTAAAGAAACACGACAATGTATAAAAGGCTCCATTACCTTGTATCTTACGTTATGGCCCCGTAGAAGCCGTTTTTGTAAAAATAGGCTAACGATTGCGTCATAACACGCGACTCTCTGTCGCACAGTAGAGAAATTACCGTATAGACAGAAGTAGACGCTCGCACGCAATCGGGGGGACGTGGAGGCATAAAGTCAAGGGAGAAGCCCATAGAGTGTCATAAAGTTGCTCCTGCTGCGAGCTCATGAACAGCTAATACTCACGCTCTCCGGCTCTGCAAGATTCGGAAGGGAATGATTCAGATTCCTCTTGGCACAGCTACTAGAAGACGTACAAGTTGCTCACGTCACATCTACGTCGTCAAGCTCAGTTTGACCCTGCGCAGTTCGCTTGGCAATCAGGAAGTGAGTGCTTCTATTTGACTTCACTTTTCTCCGTTGAAGTCTATGGGGTCGCTGTGTCCATTTCTTTTACTGTCTATGGCTCTATGGCTATGCACGGCGGTATTTCCGGTGAAGGTCTAAGGATGCTGGATTACTTCCGCCGATCGTAGAGTCCAATGCTATACAGAGAATTTATATTGGTTTTTATACTCTATTGCTATACTAAAGAAACGTTAGTCACAAAAACAGATAAAACAGACACCCCTCATTTTTATGCTTCTTTGTTTATTATATTAAATAAACATAACTATATATAAAATTACATCTAAACGTATTAAAGTTTCGTTTCAAAGACGAGAGGACAGTAAATTTTGAAGACTCTGCTAT